TATAAATTGATTTGCATTTTAATGAGGGAAATAAGTATTTGACCCCCTCTCAATCAGAAAGATTCCAGGCTCCCAGGTGTCTTTTATACAGGTAACGAGCTGAGATTAGGAGCACACTCTTAAAGGGAGTGCTCCTAATCTCAGCTTGTTACCTGTATAAAAGACACCTGTCCACAGAAGCAATCAATCAATCAGATTCCAAACTCTCCACCATGACCAAGACCAAAGAGCTCTCCAAGGATGTCAGGGACAAGATTGTAGACCTACGCAGGCTGGAATGGGCTACAAGACCATCGCCAAGCAGCTTGGTGAGAAGGTGACAACAGTTGGTGCGATTATTCGCAAATGGAAGAAACACAAAAGAACTGTCAATATCCCTCGGCCTGGGGCTCCATGCAAGATCTCACCTCGTGGAGTTGCAATGATCATGAGAACGTTGAGGAATCAGCCCAGAACTACACGGGAGGATCTTGTCAATGATCTCAAGGCAGCTGGGACCATAGTCACCAAGAAAACAATTGGTAACACACTACGCCGTGAAGGACTGAAGTCCTGCAGCGCCCGCAAGGTCCCCCTGCTCAAGAAAGCACATATACAGGGCCGTCTGAAGTTTGCCAATGAACATCTGAATGATTCAGAGGAGAACTGGGTGAAAGTGTTGTGGTCAGATGAGACCAAAATCGAGGTCTTTGGCATCAACTCAACTCGCCGTGTTTGGAGGAGGAGGAATGCTGCCTATGACCCCAAGAACACCATCCCCACCGTCAAACATGGAGGTGGAAACATTATGCTTTGTGGGTGTTTTTCTGCTAAGGGGACAGGACAACTTCACAGCATCAAAGGGACGATGGACGGGGCCATGTACTGTCAAATTTTGGGTGAGAACCTCCTTCCCTCAGCCGGGGCATTGAAAATGGGGTGGAGGGGTATTCCAGCAAAGAGTGGCTCAAGAAGAACCTTTAGGTCCGGAGAGCCTAGCCAGTTCCAAAAAAATCTGTGGAGGGGCTAAGTTTTGAGTTCCCAAAGTCAGCCTCAAAACCTTTAATGATTTGGGGAAAAGATCTCCAAAGAGGAGTGGAACAAAATCGTTCCGAATGTTAAAACCTGGGGGCCAAACTACAAAAAATGCTGACCTCTGTATTCCAAAAAGGTTTGCCACCAAGTACAAAGTAAATGTTTTGCGAGGGGAAATATTTTTCCCCCTTAAAATGAAAAATCAATTTATAACATTTTTGACATGTTTTTCTGGATTTTTTTGTTGTTATTCGTCCCACTGTTCAAATAAACCTACGTCCGATCGCTTAAGAAGGAGGCCCAAAGGGCGCAGCGTGATGAACAAACTTTTTTATTTATCATTAGCGATAAACACGGACATAAAAAAAAACACAAACGATTAACGTCCTGGGTACTAGCCAACACGGAACAAAACCCCAAAAACAAAAAGGGAAAAACGACTTTTTAAATAGGCCCCCCATCGAAAAACCCACCCAAGCACACTCGTTCCTCTGATTGGGGGTACCAGGCCAACATAGAAAAAACAAAATAGAACTCCCAACTAAAAACACCACATAGAAAAAAAACCACCCGGCTCAAAATATAGGTCCCAGGCCCGGGTTTTACAGTACCCCCCCCCCAAAGGCGCACTGCGACCCCGCCTCAATAGAGCAAAACAGGGGAGGGCTGGGGGGGCTTCCCTCCCCGGGGCGGTTCTGGCTCCGGCTTGCCCACCACCCTCCAAAAACCCCCATGCGCCCCCGGCCGGGGGTTTGGGCCCCCCTGGCTGGAGTGAACTGGACGTAGCAACGGTTAGCTTCACTCCCTATGGGGCATTTTAAACCGGGGACCTTACCAGGGACCGGTGACCCAGGCACGGTTGTGCTGGACTGACGCGCGCACCCCTGGCTTGGGGCGTGGAGCCGGAAAGGGCCGGGCCCGGCTGACGAATCGCACCCCTGCTTGGTCGGGGGGATGGGGCCGACCGGGCTGAGAGCGCCCCCTGGGTTTGGGGCGTGGAGAGGAAAAAGGCCGGACGGGGGTGGCGACGCACACCGTAGGCTTGGGCGAGGAGGGGACAGGGCCCGGACCGGCTGGCGACGCACACCCTAGGGGTTGGGGCGAGGAGAGGGACAGGCCGACCGGCTGAGACTCCCCCCTGGGTTGGTGCAGTGGGAGGAACGGCCCGGGGCCGGGCTGGCGACGCGCACCGTAGACTTGGGCGAGGGAGGGAAAAGGCCGGACCGGGCTGGGGACGCACCCGTGGCTTGGGCGAGGAGCGGGCAGGCCGGGCCGGCGGCGACGCCCCCCGTGGGGTTGGGGTGAGAGGGGGGCAGGCCGGACCGGGGTGGGGATCACACCGTAGGTTGGTGCGTGGAGCAGGGACAGGCCGGACCGGGCGGCGATGCCACCGTAGGCTTGGGGCGTGGAGCAGGGACAGGGGGGGACCGGGCTGGCGATGAACCCTAGGCTTGGTGCGTGGAGCAGGGACAGGCCGGGCCGGGCTGGCAGCCACCCTAGCTTGGGCGAGGGGCAGGGGCAGGGGGGGACCGGGTGGCACGCACACCGAGGGTTGGGGGCGTGGAGCAGGGGCAGGCCGGGCCGGGCTGGCGACGCAACCCTAGGCTTGGTGCGTGGGGCGGAAAAGGCCGGGGCCCGGGGTGGGGGACGCGACCCTAGACTTGGGCGAGTGGCGGAAAAGGCCGGGGCCGGCTTGGCACGCACCCCATAGGGCTTGGTGCGTGGGGCAGGGCAGGCCCCACCACGCACTCGCACCGACATTTGGTGCGAGGGGCCGTAAAGCCGGGCCGTACGGGGACACCACACCCCCTGGTCACCCGGGGTCGGAAAGGGGGGACCGGACTGGTAACACACCCCGTTTTCCCTCGCCGGCCTCTAAAACCCCTTCTTTCCCCACTTTTTACCAGTGGCCCCGTAACCTGGGGGCCTTCGAAAACCCCCTTTTTTTGACTCCGTCAGCCCCGTCGTCCATTTCCCTGTCCCCCCTCAAATATTTTTGGGGTTCTTCTCGTCACCCGACGACGAAACGATCAGCCTTTTCCCACTCCAGGGGCCTGCTCCTGGACACCTACTTGGGGCCTGTGGGGGTGGGTTCTTCTGTCACTCGGCCCTTAAGAGAGGAGGACCCAAGGCGCAGCTGATGAACGAACGTTTTTTATCATTACGATAAAAAACGGGCATAAACAAAAACAACAAACGACTCGCAAAAGTCCTAGGTAACATAGACCAACACGGAACAAAACCCACAAACACAAAAAGGAAAAAAAGAGTTATTATACAGGTAACGAGCTGAGATTAGGAGCACACTCTTAAAGGGAGTGCTCCTAATCTCAGCTTGTTACCTGTATAAAAGACACTGTCCACAGAAGCAATCAATCAATCAGATTCCAAACTCTCCACCATGACCAAGACCAAAGAGCTCTCCAAGGATGTCAGGGACAAGATTGTAGACCTACGCAAGGCTGGAATGGGCTACAAGACCATCGCCAAGCAGCTTGGTGAGAAGGTGACAACAGTTGGTGCGATTATTCGCAAATGGAAGAAACACAAAAGAACTGTCAATATCCCTCGGCCTGGGGCTCCATGCAAGATCTCACCTCGTGGAGTTGCAATGATCATGAGAACGGTGAGGAATCAGCCCAGAACTACACGGGAGGATCTTGTCAATGATCTCAAGGCAGCTGGGACCATAGTCACCAAGAAAACAATTGGTAACACACTACGCCGTGAAGGACTGAAGTCCTGCAGCGCCCGCAAGGTCCCCCTGCTCAAGAAAGCACATATACAGGGCCGTCTGAAGTTTGCCAATGAACATCTGAATGATTCAGAGGAGAACTGGGTGAAAGTGTTGTGGTCAGATGAGACCAAAATCGAGGTCTTTGGCATCAACTCAACTCGCCGTGTTTGGAGGAGGAAGAATGCTGCCTATGACCCCAAGAACACCATCCCCACCATCAAACATGGAGGTGGAAACATTATGCTTTTGGGTGTTTTTCTGCTAAGGGGACAGGACAACTTCACAGCATCAAAGAGACGATGGACGGGGCCATGTACTGTCAAATCTTGGGTGAGAACCTCCTTCCCTCAGCCAGGGCATTGAAAATGGGTCGTGGATGGGTATTCCAGCAAAGGAGTGGCTCAAGAAGAAGCACATTAAGGTCCTGGAGAGCCTAGCCAGTCTCCAGAAAATCTGTGGAGGGAGCTGAAGGTTCGAGTTGCCAAACGTCAGCCTCGAAACCTTAATGACTTGGAGAAGATCTGCAAAGAGGAGTGGAACAAAATCGCTCCTGAGATGTGTGCAAACCTGGTGGCCAACTACAAGAAATGTCTGACCTCTGTGATTGCCAACAAGGGTTTTGCCACCAAGTACTAAGTCATGTTTTGCAGAGGGGTCAAATACTTATTTCCCTCATTAAAATGTAAATCAATTTATAACATTTTTGACATGCGTTTTTCTGGATTTTGTTGTTGTTATTCTGTCTCTCACTGTTCAAATAAACCTACCATTAAAATTATAGACTGATCATGTTTTTGTCAGTGGGCAAACGTACATAATCAGCAGGGGATCAAATACTTTTTTTCCCTCACTGTAGACCCAGCATTTATTTTAAACAGGCGTTTATTTGCTGAAATATGTGCAGTTGCACGGCTATTAAAAGGGACATGCGGCTATTTAAGACTGCGTTTAATATAAATTTTACGGTATCAGTTTCAAGTGTTACATTTAACCCTGCAACCACTTTCGGTTGAATTGTAATCAATGGGTATGTCCTAAAATTGGAGATACAGTGTGTAATGGTAGCTGTGATATGTATGTTGTTTGTATAAAAATATTATTAATCTAAATCAAATTATCTTTTCAGAAATAAGCAAAAGACTGAAAGTGTTACTTTGTGCCCTGGTCTCCCCTTTCTACCATGTACCCCCGTCCCCCTCCTTGAACAACCACTGTTACATTTACACAACATATTCTCTACAGCTCCAAAATGGACATCATCACCAACTCCATAGACATGACTGGAAGCAACAGTACCAACACCAGCCACTGCCCTTACGCTGAGGAGTGGTACTGGCTCCACACCATGCAACCGGCCTACATCCTGGCCACCAGCATACTGGGGATTCTGGATAATGTCTTTGTCCTGTTGGTGTTCTGCCTGCATAAGAAGGCCTGCACCGTAGCAGAGATCTACCTGAGCAACCTGGCTGCTGCTGATCTTCTCCTGGTCTCCTGTCTCCCCTTCTGGGCTGTCAATGTGGCCAACGGCTTCGACTGGGCCTTCGGCCCCCTGCTGTGTCGCCTGGTCAACGTGGGCATCAAGATGAACGCCTACAGCAGTATCTACTTCCTGGTTCTGGTCAGTGTGGACCGCTATGTGGCGCTGGTGCATACTATGAGCCACGGGAGGATGAGGAGGCCCTCCTACGCCAAGCTGGGCTGTTTGTTAGTGTGGGGCTTTGGCCTGTTGCTGGGCACCCCTACCATGCTCTTCAGGGCAGTGAAGTGGTTCCCAGACATCCAGGTGACCGCCTGCTTCTTGGACTACCCCAGTCCCAAGATGGAGGTGGTGTTCGACGTGATGCTCATTGTGTTGGGGTTTGCCATCCCTGTGTCAGTGATCTCCTACTGCACCTGTCAGATCATCCACGCCCTGAATAACCAGGCCATGGAGAGGATCAAGGCGGAGCACACAGAAAGGAAGGCCACTCTGCTGGTGCTGGCTGTTCTCCTGACCTTCCTGCTCTGCTGGGTGCCCTTCCACCTAGTCACGGCCCTGGAAGTCCTCCAGAGGGCGGGCGTAATCTCAGGCTGCCACCTGAGCAACAGTCTGGAGATCTGCAAACAAGTGTTCACCTACCTGGGCTTCTTCAACAGCGTGCTCAACCCAGTCCTTTACGTGATCGTGGGGAAGAACTTCAGGAAGAAAGTCAAGGATGTGTTCAAACAACTGTCTATGAGGAAGAAATGGCCACCAGATCACTACGATCGCAATAGTCATCCACACTCAAAAAACTGACTTGAGTTTAATGCACATGAAGGGCCGGTTTCCCGGACTAAAAGTTTGTTCAATGGAAATTCTCTTAGTCCTGGACTAAAAATTATTTCAGTCCAAGATTAGGCTTAATCTGTTTCTGGAAAACCAACCCAAAAGGGAACACGTTATAACTTTTACCTCTATGACCGAAATTGACACTGGAGCACTCAGCCCCCCCCCCCCTGTTGAGTTGACTGCATTCTATTTAAGTATACTAATTGCCTTCACAGTATCAATGTGCTTTAACTTAGAAACCATGCTTCAGTTCAGAATTTATTTATCAACACTGTATATGTTATCTAGGATGGCTGGTTCTTTTAATTTTGTGCAATATATATAAATACTACACAGTATATTTGTGTTCTGTCAAATAAGCTGTGTAAATAGGAACTTATTGTGTTCTAAAAATGAGTCAGTATTTAGTAGAAATGTACATTGAACAGTTTTTGTTAATGGAGCGGTAGTGGCTAGTAAGCCGGTGACGACGAACGCCAAAACCTGCCCGAGCAAGGAGGAGGGGCATTTTGTTACTTTTGAGAACATTATTTAACCCCCCTAAGGTCAATGTCCGGGCCTCTGTGGAAATCTAATTAGCATTAAAAATACAAATAAAAATCTGTCAGTTTAAACTAGAGATATCTGTTATTTTGTCTCAATCCACCACATCCGCCTATGTCGCACTTCCGCATCTGCAGTGAAAGGTGACAGAGCTACAGCAGTGTTTGTCAGATCATGAGACATCCGGAAAATCGGTCTGTAGCGTCCAACCGGTTTTGCCTACAAACACGATGGTGTTCTCCGTTTTGCCTACAAACACGATGGTGTTCTCCGTTTTGCCTACAAACACGATGGTGTTCTCCGTTTTGCCTACAAACATGATGGTGTTCTCCGTTTTGCCTAAGACCTCCACAAGTTTCAGAAGACTCGTCGGAAGTCGGTACAGCCGATCTGCCAACATGTATGTAGCGTCTAAACTGTTGGGGCTACACACTAATATGACCCCTCTGTGCAAAGGTGAGACTCTCACGAACATGTACATGTCGGTTGTTGTTGTGCTCTAGGACGCCCACAGGCCTCACAAGACTCGTCTGAAGGTCCCCATGTACCAGTTTTAAAAAATGAATGGAAGTATATGGAGATTGTTTAATGTAGATGTCCAAAAATATGGGCTTAAATACATGTAAAAAAAAAAATAATAATTTTCATGCTCTCAGATATTGGAGAGACACATCAGAACAAACTTCATTTTGGTATATTTTTGGGACTATCTGTTGTACCATGTAGTGAATCTGTTATTCAATGTGTTTGTTTGGTTTAATAGCAATAAGGCCCAAAATAATTTGATCAAATATTGTTTTTATATTTTATTTCATACTTCAAGGGATCTTAAAACTCTAAATCAAATAGTTAAATGATGCTTGGTATGACCTTCTTAAAACAATTCCATATAGCTTAGTAGAACCCTCCTGCTTGGACAGGGCTTAGGCTCTGCTGGGTTAAAACAAACCAACTATGTCTGTCTTGTTGAATCATTTTAAATGCATGTCAATGTGAGACGACCACCTAAAACTAAACACAGAGCGGCCCAGATGAACTCTGGGTTAGTGATTTATAGTGTTTTCTTTGACTAAATGTCTGAATGGCTAAATTAGTGAATGTGTCACAGACTTTCCAGTGGTGACAAAAGTTGTGTCCCTTTGTGTGGGCAGAGAATATTACACTCTCTTATAATTTTTTCCCAAACCCCAACTTTATTGGTTAGACAGGAGCGACTGTGGTCAGGGGCCTGATAACCAACCTGATAACCAGCAACGACGAGTCAGCCAATAGGGAGGAGGTAAGTGAACTGGCATTGTGGTGCCAGGACAACAACCTCTACCTCAATGTCAGCAAAACAAAGGAGTTGATTGTTGACTTCAGGAGCAGAGGAGGGAACACTGCAGTAGAGAAAGTCAGCAGTTTTAACTTCCTCGGCATCCACATCACCGATGACTTGACATGGACCAACAACACCACCACTCTTGTCAAGAGGGCGCAATAGCGCCTCTACTTCCTAAGGCAGCTGAAGAAATTCGGCATGCCACCCCGGGTCCTCTCCACTACTACCGCTGCACCATCGGGAGCATCCTGACCAGTTGCATCACAGCCTGGTATGGCAATTGCTCCATCCACAACTGCAAGGCCCTCCAGTGGGTGGTGAAGACGGCCTAGTACATCACTGGGGCATTGTTCCCACCAATCAAGGACATCTACTTGAAACTGTGCCTGAGGAAGTCCCGCAGCATCATCAAAGAGCCCACACACCCCAGCCACGAGCTGTTCTCTCCCTTATCGTTGGTCAGACGGTATCGGAGCATGAGGTCTGATACCAACAGGTTCAGAGACAGTTTCTATCTACAAGCCATCCGACTGCTGAACACTTGAACTGGACTGACCACCTGCACTGACTCTCCCCACCTTAGCATACACACACACACACACACACACATGCACCTGCTGTGACCAGACTCTTATTTACTATTGCTAATACTGCACAATTTAACCCATAAGAGTCTAAGCCCTCTCTAAGCCGGGGGAGGGGGGTTCTACTAAGCTTTATGGAATTGTTTTAAGAAGGTCGTATCAAGGATCATTTAGCCATTTGATTTTGAATTTTAAGACCCCTTTGAAGTATATCTCTTTTTTATATATATAATGTATGATTTTTCTGGGGGGGAATTTCTGCTATTAGCCCATACAAAAGCATTGAATAACAGATTCACTACATGGAACAACAGATAGTCCCAAAAGAAAATCAAAAGGAAGTTTGTTCTGAAGTGTCTGTCCTTTATCTGAGAAATAAGAAAGATTAGGAAACATTATTTTTATTTTATTTTTTATACATGTATTTAAACACTTGCCCCCCAATCACCCCTTCCCTTATACATGTGTTAATATTGTACTATAAATTGTGCCTCCCTGTATTTTATGCTAAAATGTTTATTCTATTCTACAGAGCCATTTACTTGATGTTCGTATTCTTATCTTTTCTTATTTCTTATTGGTGTTGCATTGTCGAAAAGGAACATGCAAGGAAGCATTTCGTTGGACAATGTATACCACGTCTATCTTGTACATACGACTAATAAAACTTGAAACTGAAACCATTGTGTGGGTGAAGTAATTGATGAGGCACAGAGAGGAAACATTTTGCTGCCGGGTCAAAAAAGTGTGCTACTCTTAGGTACTTCAGTCAAAAAGAGTGTGCTAGGTGTAGACAGAGTCAGTCCACAGAGAGTGTGCTCCATGTCATCCAGATAACCTAGAAGGGCCATCTGTTGCCTGCAGCACCATTTAGATGACTGTACATCACAGTGGTTTATGTAAAGAGATGAGGTGTGCTTCACAAGGCAACAGCACGCAGAGCCTGTGTACTCTCACTAATATCAATATTAGCCCTTCCATTCTCTTCCTCCCAAGTCCCTTAGCACATTAGTCATTTTATTTTGAGCCAGAGGGTAGCAGTTTACTTTACTTTGAAATGAGAGAAGTAGTGGTACACATGTTCAATAGCATTGACATAATGAAAAGCTTTTGATGTTTTATAATATAAAATTGTGCTCCAACATTGACACACACAATCTCTTTTCGGTCAGCTCTCGAAATGGTCTCAAACTGGTCGGGGGACCCTCTCATGGAGGGTGTGCTCATGGCCGAGGACGAGTGTAACCACACAACAGCCTGGGAGTGGGTGTACTCCATCCAGCCAGCTTACATGTCCGTCATCTGCCTGCTGGGAATGGTGGGCAACACCTTCGTGCTGTGTGTGTTCTGCCTCCAGAGAAGACACAGCACAGTGGCAGACATCTACCTGGGGAACCTGGCTGCTGCAGACCTCCTCATGGTATCCTGCCTGCCCTTCTGGGTGGTGGCAGTCGTACAGGAGTTCCATTGGCCGTTTGGTGAGCTTATGTGTCAGCTGGTGAACATTGTCATTGGGATGAACTACTACTGCAGCGTCCTGTTCCTTACACTGGTGAGTGTGGACAGATACCTGGTGCTGGCCCGTCCCCTGTCGTCCCAGGGCAGAGGGAGAAGACCAGCCTGGGCCAGTGGGATCTGCCTGGGAGTCTGGGTGGTGGGCGCTCTTCTCAGCCTTCCAGCCCTGCTCTTCCGATCCGTCCAGTTCTTCCCCCACCTGGGGGTGGAGGCATGCTACATGGCATACCCCCACGACGGCTGGAGGCTGCGCTACAACCTGACCATCAACATAGTGGGCTTTCTGGTTCCTGTACCCATTGTGTCCTTCTGCAGCTACCACATCATCAGAGTCTTACGGGACAACCAGGCGAGCAGGGTGAGGAGCACGGCGGCGGCTGGCACGGAGAGGAAGGCTGCCCACCTGGTGCTTATCGTCCTGGCCATCTTCATCCTCTGCTGGCTGCCCTACCAGGTTGTCATCTTCCTGGATACCCTGTATCACTATGAGGTCATCTCTGGCTGCGGCTGGGTGGATGCATTAGACATCAGCACTCAACTGGCTACCTACCTGGGCTACAGCAACAGCTCACTGAACCCTTTTCTGTATGTGATTGTGGGGAAGCACTTTAAGCAGAGGGCCAAAGGGGTATGTAGACAGATGATGTGCTGTGAAAAGGGAAGGAAGTCCTATCATACTGTCAATCTAAACTCCACCATTAAGTACACAGACTCCACTAAGGTATGATTTATAAACCCTAAATAACAATGTCATTTTAAAGCACATATTTCTGCACTAGCATCACTTTTTTGTGTAACAGTATGATAATACTTGTGAATGTGTTTTGTGTTTATATTGTATTTAGCTTTTGCTACTGTGTGTTTTCTATACCTGTATCTCAAAAAGGTTTCTCAGTGATTTGATATTTTACAGGCAGGATGGTTTAGACATTTTTATACATTAATACAAATCAAACATTTGTAAAGTCCTTGATAATAATCTATTTTATATGATAAGTGAATGTTTTCTGACCAATACTGTGGAATAGTTATTGAATAGCTAAACTGCACAAATTGCAATGACTTGTTTGGTACTTACCATGAACAATTCCATGTGATATGATTGAATGTAGTTATGGACAGGTCAGAGTAATAATCCAAATATACCCTCACATTGTCATAATGTGTGAGAAAGGGATTAAGAGGACATTCTTATTCAACTCTAAGATGATGTCTAGCCAGCAAACAGACATTGTTTGTCGTGATGAATATCGGCCATACAGTATAACAGATCAGCATGCCTTTAAGTTGAGAAGCTAAGTATGTTTACAGAGAGTATGACTAATTGTTTTTGAGTGTCTAAGAGGGAAAGATCAGAGGGGTGTAGTCTGTACTGTATATATCTGTTCTGTACACTAAAGTATATGTTTTGGTCTATGTAGAAATGAACCAGAGTGAAATAAGACAGACACATATCAAGTGGACCTAAAGCATGGACCTACACTGAGTGTACAAAAAATTAGGAACACCTTCCTACTATTGAGCTGCAACCCCTTTTTCCCCTCAGAACAGCCTCAATTTGTCGGGGCATGGACTCTACAAGGTGTCGAAAACATTCAACAGGGATGCTGGCCCATGTTGACTCCAATCCTTTCCACAGTTGTGTAAAGTTGGCTGGATATCCTTTGGGTGGTGAACCATTCTTGATACACACGGGAAACTGTTGAGTGTGAAAAACCCAGCAATGTTGCAGTTCTTGACACACTCAAACCGGTGCGTATGGCACTTACAACCATACCACGTTCAAAGGCACTTAATTATTTTGTCTTGCCCATTCACCCTCTGAATGGCACACATACACAATAATAATATAATAATCTATGTCTCAATTGTCTCAAGGCTTGAACATCCTTCTTTAATCTGTCTCCTCCCCTTCATCGACACTGGTTGAAGTGGACTTAACAAGTGACATCAATAAGGGATCATAGCTTTCACCTGGATTCACCTGGTCAGTCTATGTCATGGAAATAGCAGGTGTTCCTAATGTTTTGTACACTCAGTGTACAGTCCCTATAGAATGTTTCTGTAAAAATATACATTACAAGTACACTCTATAATCCAGAAACATTATTTTCTTGTGTTACTATTACATTTGTATCTATTTGTTAATTTTATTTCTTTTTAATTGCATTGTTGGGAAAGGGCAAGTCTACACTTGTTGTATTTGGCACATGTGACAAATAAAATGTTATTCAATTTGAAACAACTCATGATGAAATATAAACAGAGACTGTTCTACGATTAAGTTTAAATCTACTTGAGAGAAAGGGGGAACAGAAAGGAAATCATAGATCAAGCCATCTACTTGGCCCTCGGCCTGCAATTATGTACAGTTGAAGTTGGAAGTTTACATACACCTTAGCCAAATACATTTAAACTCAGTTTTTCACAATTCCAGACATTTAATCCTAGTAAACATTCCCTGTTTTAGGTCGGTTAGGATCACCACTTTATTTTAAGAATGTGAAATGTCAGAATAATCCTTTCAACACATTCCCAGTGGGTCAGAAGTTTACATACACTCAATTAGTATTTGGTAGCATTGCCTTTAAATTGTTTAACTTGGGTCAAACGTTTCGGGTAGCCTTCCACAAGCTTCCCACAATAAGTTGGGTGAATTTTGGCCAATTCCTCCTGACAGAGCTGGTATAACTGAGTCAGGTTTGTTGGCCTCCTTGCTCGCACACGCTTTTTCAGTTCTGCCCACACATTTTCTATAGGATTGAGATCAGGGCTTTGTGATGGCCACTCCAACACCTTGACTTTGTTGTCCTTAAGCCATTTTGCCACAACTTTGGAAGCATGCTTGGGGTCATTGTTCATTTGGAAGACCCATTTGCGACCAAGCTTTAACTTCCTGACTGATGTCTTGAGATGTTGCTTCAATATATCCACATACTTTTCCTTCCTCATGATGCCATCTATTTTGTGAAGTGCACCAGTCCCTCCTGCAGCAAAGCACCCCCACAACATGATGCTGCCACCCCCGTGCTTCATGTTTGGGATGGTGTTCTTTGGCTTGCAAGCACCCACTTTTTCCTCCAAACATAACAATGGTCATTATGGCCAAACAGTTCTATTTTTGCTTCATCAGACCAGAGGATATTTCTCCAAAAAGTAAGATCTTTGTCCCCGTGTGCAGTTGCAAACCGTAGTCTGGCTTTTTTATGGCGGTTTTGGAGCAGTGGCTTCTTCCTTGCTGAGCGGCATTTCAGGTTATGTCGATATAGGACTTGTTTTACTGTGGACATAGATACTTTTGTACCTGTTTCCTCCAGCATCTTCACAAGGTCCTTTGCTGTTGTTCTGGGATTGATTTGTACTTTTCGCACCAAAGTACGTTCATCTCTAGGAGACAGAACGCGTCTCCTTCCTGAGCGGTATGACGGCTATGTGGTCCCATGGTGTTTATACTTGCGTACTATTGTTGGTACAGATGAACGTGGTACCTTCAGGCGTTTGGAAATTGCTCCCAAGGATGAACCAGACTTGTGGAGGTCTACAATTTTGTTTTCTGAGGTCTTGGCTGATTACTTTTGATTTTCCCATGATGTCAAGCAAAGAGGCACTGAGTTTGAAGGTAGGCCTTATAATACTGCCACAGGTACACCTCCAATTGACTCAAATTATGTCAATTAGCCTATCAGAAGCTTCTAAAGCCATTACATAATTTTCTGGAATTTTCCAAGCTGTTTAAAGGCACAGTCAACATAGTGTATGTAAACTTCTGACCCACTGGAATTGTGATACAGTGAATTATAAGTGAAATAATCTGTCTGTAAACAATTGTTGGAAAAAGTACTTGTGTCATGCACAAAGTAGATGTCCTAACCAACTTGCCAAAACTATAGTTTGTTAACAAGAAATTTGTGGAGTGGTGAAAAACTAGTTTTAATGACTCCAACTTAAGTGTATGTAAACTTCCGACTTCAACTGTACATGTTCTTACACCTCTTCCAAAAAGCTCCAGACCACTTTATAGAGGTTATAATAATGTTCTAAAATAATTCTAAAAGGAAAGCCAAAGACATTCTAAAATAAATGTGTTTGTACACTTGGACAACAAGCTCTTCGCTTGACAAAATACATGTTCTCTCCTTGAGTATTCGTATATACTGACTTGACCTTTGGCGCTTCAGGAGGCAAACTGAAAATGTCTTATAAACAAGTTGACATACACGGTGGGACAAGGGTGTCGAAGAATGCTGTATACAGAACCAAACTTTCCAGCAGATCTCTCCCTAACTCAGTGAGTAGCTTAAAGATGAACAACACCACAAAACTCCTTACAAAAATAAATGAACACTAGGTAAGCAATTTATTACATTACCTTAAAAAAGATGGCTTTGTGAGCCAGGCATCTGAATAAAGTAATTATATAGAGACTAAAGTAGTTTAATACAAATTAATACTTATAGACCAAAACACTGAGACTTCCACTTTTTAGAGGTTATTCAACTTGACAAGAAGAAAGCATAGTCATTTGATCAGCCATCTGTATTTTTAAGGATGTTCTACACAGAGTTGCACATGATAAATCTTTTATTAGTTACTAAATCACATTTTAGAAGAAATATTAATACAAAAAATGTGTGATCAATTACTCCAAGGACTCATGTCATGTCTTTATTAAAACATCATGCTTAAATCCCTCTTTTGTCAAACAACACCAGAAATACTAAACATATCTGTGGATTCTGCATACTTAAGCAACAGCTTAAGTGACTAATGGTGACCCTACAGGGGAGTTTTGAAGAGTTTGGACTTCAGCATAATGTTTTGAAAGATATCTGGCTACAATGTTCAGGAGATTGATTACAGTGTTTTCCCCATTTGGCTTCTATTTCCATGCCAAATACAGTATCCAACTTCAGTGTCACAATATTTACATGAATATTGTTGTTTTTTAGTGGATAGTAAGCACAGATAAGATATTTTCATTTATTTTCCATTGAGCACAGAGCTGATGGTCTCCATGGCAATGCTACTGTCAGAAAACATTAGCACAATACTTCCCACCATCTAGACTCCGCTCCACAACAGAATGGATCCTGGTCCACAGCATCGTCCCTCCCTACATTTATTCATTGGTGGTCTGCCTCATCCTGTGGCTGTTTGGGCTGCTGATGGGGGTGCTGGCGACGATTCACATAAAGGTGATGTTTGTTGATGAACTTCAGACAATGGTGTGTATTCTGGAGTATCCTGAAAACTCAGGGAAATCTTGGAAGCTGGCCCACAACCTCCTGATGAACATTGTGGGCTTTATTCAACCTTTTGTGGTGATTATTTCCTGCAGTTGTAACATCATTAGAGCCCTGAGGAAGAAGAGGGAGAGTGTTTACATAGAGGATAGAAACTACAGGAAGGCCACAGTCCTCGTTTACGCCGTGACGATGCTGTTCCTTGTGTGTTGGAGTCCCTTCAAACTCTTCACCCTACTCGATATACTGTGTGAAACAGAGGTTTTGGACGAGATGTGGGATCATACCCTGGATATTGGAACCCAGCTTTCAACCTACCTAACGTTTCTGAACAGTAGACTAAACCCTGTGCTGTATGTATTTTCTGGTCTGTAGGAGGAAAGGAGGAAAGTTAGCGCCATCTACAGGAGAACTAAGAATCGCAGGAGTTCTGCTACAACTGAAAGCTGAAATGCCTGTGTATCAACCTATCACCACAGGGTTGATCAAATCAAACCTGTTGTAATACAGACATGGCTTCCTGCATTTTCCTGCACATTTCTCATTTGATATCATGTAGTTATTGCACACTAAATGGCATTTTCAATGAATAACGCAATTTATCTAATGTATCCACATCAAATGTGTGCAATCTAGAACCACATTGTGTAGGCCTATCAGGTTTAGATTGTGTAGGAGATATGCTTGCAGGCACGGAAATTATAGTCTCAAAAGTAAGATAATGGCGATGTTTTCTGAAGTGTATATTGTGTACTCACAGTGTCACAATGTCAATTTGAATGCTAAATGTAACTTTTCCTTTCTCTGAGACAAGCAAGAGAGATTGTAGATTCCACTAGGGAAGATCATGGGGGTGATAGATTTGAAATGTTACACCCTAATCGGATCTGCAAACCTATAGTTTCATCAGCTGTTCAGGTGGCTGGTCTCAGGTGAAGAAGCCGGATGTGGAGGTCCTGGGCTGGCGTGGTTGGATGTGGTCTGCGATTGTGAGGCCGGTTGGACGTACTGCCAAATTCTATAAGACGGCGTTGGAGGCGGCTTATGGTAGAGAAATTAACATTAAATTATCTGGCAACAGCTCTGGTTGACATTCCTGCAGTCAGCATGCCAATTGCATGCTCCCTCAAAACTTGAGACATCTATGTCATTGTGTTGTGTGACAAAATTGCACATTTTAGACAAAACTGCACATTTTAGAGTGGCCTGATATCGTCCCCAGCACAAGGTGCACCTGTGTAATGATCATGCTGTTTAGTCAGCTTCTTGATATGCCACACCTGTCAGGTGGATGGATTATCTTGGCAAAGGAGAGATGCTCACTAACAGGGATGTAAACAAATTTGTGCACAACATTTGAGAAATAAGCGTTTTTTGTGTATGGAAAAATGATGGGATCTTTTATTTTAGCTCATGAAACATGGGGCTAACACTTTACATGTTGCATTTACATTTTTGTTAGGTATATTTGTATCTTGATACAAATATTAATGATTCCCAAGACATCTATAAGAAGTCAATTCATAGTCATTTAATGATAACATTACAAGACCAGTGTGGAGAGTAGTCTTTCTAGCTGTGCTTTTTTGCTTTCCAGACTGGTTCTGGTAGCTCATGTTTGTATACATAGCGTTTTAACTTGGGTGTATGACCTCCCTCCAACCACATTCTGTAACTATTTGCATTCTGTAGGTATAGGAGTCAATTTTTAGATGTCAAGTCGTTGATCACACCCAGGGTAACCACAGTGGAGAGACATTCCAAGCAATAAACTGCAGATGAGCCAGCGTCTTGTCTGTTGCTTTTCCTAATAGCTGTGGTTTCTACACCACAGTGAGGTTTACACCATAGCCTATGAAATAATATAATCCCCACCACAAATCAACTAAAATATATGGCTCAGTCTCTGAAACACAAATAAGAACGCAAAATAGTATCTGTCCTTCAATGAAAGTCAGTACAGTTCAGTTTCAATTCCAGGTAAGATACAAAAAAAAATAAGAAAATCTCCAATAAATCCAGAAGGGAGGAAAGGAAAATGAAGATTGATCTTACCAGTTCAAGCTGCACAGTTCAGTAAAAATTGTCCAAAGGAAATACACAAAGCAAAAACCCCAAAAGGTAAAATAACCAAATAGTCACCAAACATTCTGGTCAGGATTCTAAGTCAGACTTATACACACAGAGTGAGCATATGTGACTGCTGGATGCCTGGCTGACGCAGACCGTGGCTTGCTTCTGTATCCCAACCAGGGCGTGGGCGAGAGCATCCGGAACAATGTTGCACTGTCCTTTTCTGTAGGTGACATGGAACTCAACCTCCTGTAGTCCGATCGTCCATCTTACCATCTTGAATTGGGTTTTTGATGGTTGAACACTCAGGCCATGGCTGAGTGGTCCAGAATGACCTCGAACTTCCTCCCTTCAAGGAAAGGCCGCCACTTTTCCACCGCCCAAATGACTGCTAGGTACTCTCGCTCAGAAACAGAGTAGTAGACAGCAGAGTTCAGCAGTCTTGATCCATAGGCAATAACTCGCTCACCGTCATCAATCTCTTCTGTCAAAACAGCACTAAGACCAATGTCATTAACATCTGTTTGCACTTTGAAGGGCAGGTAGAAGTCAGGGTAGAGCAGCACTGGTGCTTTGGTTAGGGCCCCCTTCAAGTCCTCGAAAGCCCTCTGGCACGTCCTTCCTGTTCAGAGCATTGAGAGAAACAGAGCGGTCTGCGTAGTGAGGGATGAAGCGATGATACCATCCTGTCATACCTAGAAACCTCTCCACTGCCTTGACTGACTTAGGTGTTGGAAAAAACTGGACAGCCTCAACCTTCTTTGCCTGTGTCGTGATTTCTGCAGTGGACATCCCATGTCCAAAGAAGGAAATGCTCCTCTGGAACAGGTTACACTTCTTCAGTTTCACCATGAGCCCAGCTTTATGCAACCTGCTGAACACAGCTCTCAGGTCTTCCGGGTGTTGTTGCTCTGAGCGGGAGTACACCACAATGTCATCAATGTATGCAAAGCAACACTTCCCCTTCACATCTTCAAGGGCTATTTCCATGAGCCTTTGGAGCGATGCTCCAGCATTTTTCAAACCAAAGGGAAGAGCGAGAAACTCAAATAAGCCCCCCGGAGTAACAAATGCCATCTTCTGGATGCTGTCAGAGTCCATGCACACCTGCCAGTATCCGCTCTTGAGGTCGATAGTGCTGAATACTGTTGCTCCATGTAAGGACTCCAGTATTTCCTGAATTTGAGGCATGGGGTAGGCGTCAAAAGGGTTCTTCGCATTGATGCCTCTGTAATCAACTCAAAACCTTGTTCCTCCATCCTTTTTCTTCACAAGCACTACAGGTGAGGCACGGGGGGATGTAGATCGTCTGACATTGCCGTTGCTCAACATGTCCTTGACCTGTCTGTCCATGAACTCCTGCTTCTGCAAATACACTAGGTAGGCCTTCTTCTTTATGGGGACCTCATCAGCTGTTATGATGCAGTGAGAGACAAGAGTAGTGCATCCAACAGAATTTGTGCAAACAGTGGCCCACTCATGCAACAGGCTGTCAAGCTGCGCACAAATCTGTGAGCTGGTGTCCGCCCCACTAACCAGCTGCTGTATTAGGGCTTCAGATTGCTCACAGGGTGACGTGGAGAAATTGGCCCACAGCTTCGTGCACAGCTTGACAGCCTGTTGCATGAGTGGCCTACTGTTTGCACAAATTCTGTTGGACTCACTCCTCTTGTCTCTTACCGCATCATAGCAACTGATGAGGTCCCCAAAGTCACCTTAGAGCACATAAATATGATTTATGAACTGCAAACCATCCATGTTTAATTGTTGAGTTCACCATTCACGCTCTCAGCACACAGTTCTCTCTCTCACCTGCAGTGCTGATTTCATGTGATAGCTCAGATGAAATTTAAGACAAAGAAATGCTAGAGACTACCAATATTTGACATTCACTTCAAGATGCTTAGCTAAACAGTCACATCCCTGGTGCTTGAGAGAATGCAGGTTCTTGAGCAAAAGCCATGAAATTCCTGATGAAATCTTGACTTTTAAAACCATTTAGGCTAATTGGTTTTTTCTTGCATTTTTGGGGGAGGAACTGTTCCATTTGTCATTGTGCACAGGTAATATGCATGTTAGTAAATGAATATGTAAATACAGTTGAAGTCGGAAGTTTACGTACACCTTAGCCAAATACATTTAAACTCAGTTTTTCACAATTCCTGACATTTAATCCTAGTAAAAATTCCCTGTCTTAGGATCACCACTTTATTTTAAGAATGTGAAATGTCAGAATAATAGTAGAGAAAATTATTTATTTCAGCTTTTATTTATTTCATCACATTCCCAGTTGGTCAGAAGTTTACATACACTCAATTAGTATTTGGTAGCATTGCCTTTAAATTATTTAACTTGGGTCAAACGTTTTGGGTAGCCTTCCACAAGCTTCCCACAATACATTGGGTGAATTTTGGCCAATTCCTCCTGACAGAGCTGGTGCAACTGAGTCAGGTTTGTAGGCCTCCTTGCTCGCACATGCTTTTTGCCCACAAATATTCTATAGGATTGAGGTCAGGGCTTTGTGATGGCCACTCCAATAACTTGACTTTGTTGTCCTTAAGCCATTTTGCCACAACTTTGGAAGTATGCTTGGGGTCATTGTCCATTTGGAAGACCAATTGGCGACCAAGTTTTAACTTCCTGGCTGATGTCTTGAGATGTTGCTTCAATATATCCACATAATTTTCCTTCCTCATGATGCCATCTATTTTGTGAAGTGCACCAGTCCCTCCTGCAGCAAAGCACCACCACAGCATGATGCTGCCACCCCCGTGCTTCATGGTTGGGATGGTGTTCTTCGGCTTGCAAGCACCCCCTTTTTCCTCCAAACATAACGATGGTCATTATGGCCAAACAGTTATATTTTTGCTTCATCAGACCAGAGGACATTTCTCCAAAAGGTACGATCTTTGTCCCCATGTGCAGTTGCAAACCGTAGTCTGGCTTTTTTATGGTGTTTTGGAGCAGTGGCTTCTTCCTGGCTGAGCGGCCTTTCCGGTTATGTCGACATAGATACTTTTGTACCTGTTTCCTCCAGCATCTTCACAAGGTCCTTTGCTGTTGTTCTGGGATTGATTTGCACTTTTCGCACCAAATGGCGTTCATCTCTAGGAGACAGAACGCGTCTCCTTCCTGAGCGGTATGACGGCTGCGTGGTCCCATGGTGTTTATAATTGCGTACTATTGTTTGTACAGATGAACGTGGTACCTTCAGGCGTTTGGAAATTGCTCCCAAGGATGAACCAGACTTGTGGAGGTCTACAATTTTTTTTCTGAGGACTTGGCTGATTTCTTTTCATTTTCCCATGATGTCAAGCAAAGAGGCACTGAATTTGAAGGTAGGCCTTGAAATACATCCACAGGTACATCTCCAATTCACTCAAATGATGTCAATTAGCCTATCAGAAGCTTCTAAAGCCATGACATAACTTTCTGGAATTTTCCAAGCTGTTTAAAGGCACAGTCAACTTAGTGTATGTAAACTTTTGACCCACTGGAATTGTGATACAGTGAATTGTAAGTGAAATAATCTGTCTGTAAACAATTGTTGGAAAAATTACTTGTGTCATGCACAAAGTAGATGTCCTAACATGCATGAGAGCACCAGCTGTTCCGGATGACTATGTGATCATGCTCTCCGTAGCCAATGTGAGTAAGACTTTTAAGCAGGTCAACATTCACAAGGCCGCAGGGCCAGACGGATTACCAGGACGTGTACTCCGAGCATGTGCTGACCAACTGGCAAGTGTCTTCACTGACATTTTCAACATGTTCCTGACTGAGTCTGTAATACCAACATGTTTCAAGCAGACCACCATAGTCCCCGTGCCCAAGCACACTAAGATAACCTGCCTAAATGACTACCGACCCGTAGCACTGACGTCTGTAGCCATGAAGTGCTTTGAAAGGCTGGTCATGGCTCACATCAACACCATTATCCCAGAAACCTTAGACCCACTCCAATTTGCATACCGCCCCAACAGATCCACAGATGATGCAATCTCTATTGCACTCCACACTGCCCTTTCCCACCTGGACAAGAGAAACACCTACGTGAGAATGCTATTCATTGACTACAGCTCAGCATTCAACACCATAGTGCCCTCAAAGCTCATCACTAAGCTAAGGATCCTGGGACTAAACACCTCCCTCTGCAACTGGATCCTGGACTTCCTGACGGGCCGCCCCCAGGTGGTAAGGGTAGGTAAGAACACATCTGCCACACTGATCCTCAACACGGGGGCCCCTCAGGGGTGCATGCTCAGTCCCCTCCTGTACTCCCTGTTCACCCATGACTGCATGGCCAGGCACGATTCCAACACCATCATTAAGTTTGCTGACGACACCGATGTGACAGCCTATAGGGAGGAGGTCAGAGACCTGGCCGTGTGGTGCCAGGATAACAACCTCTCCCTCAACGTGACCAAGACAAAGGAGATGATTGTGGACTACTGGGAAAAAAAAGAGGACTGAGCACGCCCCCATTCTCATCGACGGGCTGTAGTGGAACAGGTTGAGAGCTTCAAGTTCCTTGGTGTCCACATCACCAATGAACTATCATGGTCCAAACAACCAAGACAGTCGTGAAGAGGGCACGACAAAGCCTATTCCCCCTCAGGAGACTGAAAAGATTTGGCATAGGTCCTCAGATCCTCAAAAAATTATACAGCTGCACCATCGAGAGCATCCTGACTGATTGCATCACCGCCTGGTATGGCAACTGCTCGGCCTTCGACCGCAAGTTACTACAGAGGGTTGTGCGTACAGCCCAGTACAAAACTGGGGCCAAGCTTCCTGCCATCCAGGACCTCTATACCAAGCGGTGTCAGAGGAAGGCCCTCAAAATTGTCAAAGACCCCAGCCACCCTAGTCATAGACTGTTCTCTCTGCTACCGCACGGCAAGCGGTACCAGAGTGCCAAGTCTAGGTCCAAAAGACTTCTCAACAGCTTCTACCCCCAAGCCATCAGACTCCTGAACAGCTAATCATGGCACCCCATCTTTTCACGCTGCTGCTACTCTGTTAATTATTTATGCATAGTCACTTTAACTCTACCCACATGTACATATTACATCAACTACCTCAACTAGCCGGTGCCCCCGCACATTGACTCTGCACCGGTACCCCCCTGTATATATAGCCTCCCTACTGTTATTTTATTTTACTTCTGCTCTTTTTTTCTCAACACTTTTTTGTTGTTTTATTTTACATTTTTATTTAAAAATAAATGCATTGTTGGTTAAGGGCTGTAAGTAAGCATTTCACTGTAATGTCTACACCTGTTGTATTCGGCGCATGTGGCCAATAAAATTTGATTTTATTTTATTTGATTTGATTTAACCGACTTGCCAAACTATAGTTTGTTAACAAGAAATTTGTAGAGTGGTTGAAAAACTAGTTTTAATGACTCCAACCTAAGTGTATGTAAACTTCAGACTTCAACTGTACATAAATAGAGTAAAGGACTAATCAAAACATTATTCACAAGAGTACTTCTGTTGAACTTTCACCATTCTAATGCGGGCAATTTTGAGGAAAGCCATTGTGCAAATATCTTCCTCAATGGAGCCAGAAATGTGGCACCTAAACAAATGTTGTTTGACAGCAAAAGTAAAACACACCTAGAAGAACAAGATGTTATCAAGATGTTATTTTCAGTAGATAAGAGGGCCAAATATAACACATCATTATCATTTCAATCTGTCTCTCTCTATCACTGTTGAGATCGTCTGACATGAACTTGCATGGTTAGGCATGTGTCCTCTCCAGATCTGCCACATACTTTACATCCTATCAGTTTACAAGACATTTAGGTGGGATTTTAAATCAAGTTAGGGGTTGACATAATTGCTAAGTGAGTGACATTCAATTATCTGTAATATGGACCATCAGGAGTATTAGCCATCTGGGGCTCCAACAGCTCCAACAGAGCTACAACAGCTCTGTTTACAATCATTTCACCTTGTTTACAGTCTTCAAAACCATCGCTTTGTGATGTCTGCCATTATGAAAAATGAAAGCTTTTTCTATTTCCACCCAATGCTATAGAGGAGATTAATACCATTAACAGGAAGCAAATTAGGTTCTAGTGTCCTGCTTCGTGGTTCAACTATGCCAATAGACAGAAATGTGGCTATAGCTCCAACGTAAAATAATAAATAATGTTTGTTTTAAATGTCATAAAATGTTTTCCATATTATGAATATTATTATTATTATCCTAATGTACTTTTAACAAAACATATCTGAGAAATATGTCTACTGTTGGACAGGCATCTGTGTGAGAATACAAGGCCCATCTGTTTTCTTCTCCCAACCTTTTCTCTCCTGCTGTGAGTACATGGAAAAGGTCTTAGTGTAACAATTTGCGTGATCAAATGTTGACAGAGGAGACAGAACAGTGGGTCGATGCAGTAAGGCTGTTTGTCCGCTCTACCTCAATGAAACAAAAGAGGAAAACAACATCACATTACCTTCCACAAACACACTCCTAAACAATCCATGCACACCATTAAGTTACATTATGTGTGCTTGTGGGGCCACTGTTTTTTCAGAGGCAAATCAACCAGATAAGATTCCTACTTGTCAGTTTGTCCTTTTCAGGTAAGTCTTCATGGGGAAAGGAATAGGGAAATGTGCTTCAAATGCATACGTAACATTTACAGTATTTATTTATTTATTTGGATACCCATTACTCAACTAACCACTAAATTGTAATTTAGTAGTTTAACAACATTCTAAATGTAGAACTAAAATTAAATCCCAATTATTTTGTTATTGATAACAAAATAAGTAGTGTATGCCCTGAGAACAGGTGACTACAACACAGAGCATGCAGAGGTCAAAGATGGACCCAACAGCAGCACCACACAATCAGACCAATTCTAACATGTCTGACTCCTGCATTAAAGACAACTGGGTGGACCGCCACATATACCCAGTGGCGTACTCCCTCTTCTTCATCGTAGGCTTCCCCGGCTAACTGCCAGTCTCTGTAGGTGGCCTGGCTGCTAATGAGGAAAGGCAACAACTTGGCCGTGTACCTGGTCAACCTGTCAATCTCAGACCTCCTCTTCACTATCTCCATGCTGGTGTGGATGGAGCTGGCCCTGGGTCGGCCCGTAGGGGACACCCTCTGTAGTAGGTTGTCTGTGGTGATGTACAACAGTTTCTACATCGGGTCTGGTCTCCTCTGCTGCATCTCAGTGGATCTCTATCTGGCCGTGGTCTACCCTCTTTACTGGGTCCGGCAGGTGCTTACTGCAGTGGCAGTGAGTGCTGTATTGTGGTGTGTAAAACTGTCTATCCACATCTACCTTCTTCACCACACGGGGGCGCTGCAGGGCTTCTCCCCCAGACGGTTGTGTAAGGAGGCCCACGTGGCTCTGACCCGGGTAGCTCTAGGGTTCCTGGTGTCACTCCTTCATCATGACCTTCTGCTTCCACCAGATCGTGTTGGCGCTCCGGGGCAGTGCCTCCATACTGGCTTGGGAGAGGAGGAATGTCAACCTCCTGCTGCTGCTCCTCCCGGTGACATATGTGGTGGTCTTCACCCCTTTCCAGGCCGTCATGTTCCTCAGAGGGGTGCTGGAGCCAAGGGACTGACTGTAGCATGGGCATGAAGCTCAGGGACCCATACATGATGCGAAATGACTAAAGTGCTGCAAAGATGCAAGAGGGACCAGTCGGTTAAAAAAGTGCAAAAACATTTACACAATCACATAAGCTATTGATAAATCCATATAAAGTATTTTACAGTGAAAATGTAATGTAAAAATTGCTTTATGCTATCATGATTGTTGTCAGAATTGGGACCTGTAACTAGCTTCTCTTGTATACGTGTGTGACCTCACATTGTAGACAGTAGCCTCCATGATAGAGTACTTAACCAACCTTATTTGCAGCAAAATATTCAACTGATGCCTTGTTAGGCCATAATAGTACTGTAAATGTGTTGTTTAAGCATCCACTACTCTATAAAAATGTTGTTAAAATGTTTTTTTATGCAAATGTATAGCTATTCAAACCCTAACACATATTCCTGTAAAGGTACAATGCCTGAATAGTATCTGTTAATATAAAGATATGGTATGATATTTTCTACAACTCCTTAATATGGAAAACCTAAGTATATCTATGTACACACTCTGGATCATTACCCATTGTTTGACTTTTATATGGAAATTTGATTAGATAAATATCATTAGGAAGTTCCCAATATGGCTTGTTCATAATCCTTTATCACACTGCAAACAATCATGTCAACACAAGCTAAACTAATATAACCAGTCTATATCGTGAAACCAATACTGTAGGGAGAGACAGCATGTAGTTAATGGCTCAACATAGACATTTTAGCTAAAGCTCCAGTGTGGTCCACTAGCCCTCTCTCTGTCTGTCATGTTATGGATTGAACTTAATATACATGTATATCTATACGGTAGTAAACGTCTCAGAAGCAGTGGGTTTTTTTTCTTCCTGTTTGTCTGAGCTTGTTTAGCAATCATCTGAATGATAGTACGTGTTGTGTCAACTGTGTCTGTGTGGAGGGTTATAGTTTGGGAGATACATCAGCAAATGTTGACTTTAAGCTACAGTATAAGTACGGGCCAATCGGCTGCTCTCCTGTATAAACCGTGAGTATTGCTTTTTCTATAAAAAATCTGACTGATTCTTATTTGCTTTAGAGATATCCTTGCTATGTTCCATATGCAAGCTTTAAGGGGGATGTTTACTTTCTTGAGTAAATAATGCACAGTCTTGAAATTATTTTTGCTACACTTCAGAAATAGAGTCATGTTGTGTTGTATTGTCTTGTTTCCCGAAAGGTGAGTGGCCATGAATTTCACTGTTGGAATGGAGAATTTCAGCCTCAACACCACAAATGACTCAGACAAACTGTGTCATCCAGCTGACTACCCTGAGGAGAGGAAACCCTTTTTCTTTCTGTACCTGGTCATCATTATCATCGGGATTCCCTCCAACTCCTTCTCCCTCTATGTGTCCTGGCAGCACATCAGACAGAGGAACGAGCTGGGTGTTTATCTGTTTAACCTGGCTCTGTCTGACCTCCTATTCAGCGTAGGTCTGTCTCTGTGGGTGGACTTGCAGTGGCGCGGTGTCTGGCTTCGCGGGGAGGCCGTGTGCGTCCTCTGTGTCATCTTCCTCTTTACAAACTTCTACACCAGCGATGGGCTGCTTTGCTGTATTGCCCTGGACCGTTACCTGGCTGTGGTCCACCCGCTAAAGTACCCAGTCCTGAGGAGGATGAACACGGCCGTGGTGATCAGCATGGCTGTCTGGGTGCTGGTGATCTCCTTCAACGCGGCCACAATCACCTGGATAGACTCGTACGACTCGGAGGGTAAGAGGGCTGTGTGCTTTGACGTGTTCCCTCTGAGGGACAGGCTGGCGCAGGTCAACGTGACTCGCTTCGTCCTGGGTTTCCTGTTTCCTGTCCTGCTGGTATCGTTCTGCTGCCGGGGCATCTGTATGGCAGTCCGCTCCAACCGGGCCACGGAGGAGCAGGAGAGGAGACGGGTGTCAAGACTCCTGGGGGTGGTGCTGCTTACCCTGGGGCTCTGTTTCGGACCCCTCCACGTTATTATGCTCCTGCAGGGGCTTCTGGAGCACTGTCGGAGCCCCTCCTGGCTCTTTCTGCCTTATAAGATCAGCATGGTCATGTCAGCTCTCAACAGCCTGGCTGACCCCTTCCTCTACTGTTTCATCACCAGACTGGGCAAGGCCAATGTCACACAGGTGGTACACTTCCTCCAGGGGAAGAGAGAGGGGAACGGTCAGGAGGTGGTGTAGTGTAGTGATACTCAACCACAAACCAGAACAGTTAAGAGAGAGAGACTCATACTGTTTTGTGAGTGACAAATATTGACTCATGCTTTGTCAAGACTCCGTTCCAAAATGTATTATGTAAGGTGTTAGATTATACCAACGTGGATACATACTGTGCTATGGTTTGCAAGCATTTCGCTACACCCGCAATAACACCTGCTAAACATGTGTATGTGACAAATACATTTTGATTTGACATTTGATTTGATCATTGTGCCAGGCAATCAATACTAAGACATGTGTTTCTGAAAGGAACCGTTCAAGGATAATGTGATTGCATTCATCCCTCCTTGTGACACTACAAAAGGATGAACTTCATTCCACTTTCACTTCAGATTTTATCTTGCTGTTAATACATTTACAGACTAGTGTTTCAGAGGTGACCAAGTATACTAATAGCACCAAAAATAGAACTTGACCACATCACTCGGTCAGCATTCTTATTTGACCAAATCCTTGTCATAACTGTCAACCTTCATGCTGTCCCAGTGTTTTTGCTTTATCATGTAAAATGTAACACTGTTTAACACTGACAGTAGAGCAGCATGTAAACTGTGGTATCGGAGGCCATCAAGTAGCAGCATTGGGAAAGCAGTGGGATCTCTATTTTTATGTATCTGGCACCCTCTTCTTTGCTATATGTGCAGCCACTACACACTGGCGGCAAAGACTCTAAAACAAGCTAGCTGACTGACAGCTGCTTTCAACCAAAATCATATACAGTGCCTTGCAAAAGCATTCATCCCCCTTGGCGTTTTTCCTATTTTGTTGCATTACAACCTGTAATTTTAATGGATTTTATTTGGATTTCATGTAATGGACATACACAAAATAGTCCAAATTGGTGAAGTGAAATTGAACAGATCATAAAAAAATATCAGAAACTTTGAACATTGTCAGAAGAACCGATGTGGATGTGGTGGAGGAGTCAGGCGCAGGACACAGAGGCTTCGTCCAACAGACTTTACTATTCAAAAGTGCAAAAATACAATACACGGCCTCGAAACAAACAGAGGCGAGTGAATACGTAAACCATGCGTAAACACTAAACAAACAAACAGAGCGTCAACACGCAGCTCCGAAATACAGGCAGACAACAACACACAATCTAACCAATACAAAACAGGGAACTTATAGGACACGTAATCAGAACACAAACAGACACAGGTGTACAAGACAGACCAAAGCAATCACACCACGAAACATTCAACGGTGGCAGCTAGTACTCCGGGGACGGCGAACGCCGAAGCCTGCCCGAACCAGGAGGAGGAGCAAAACCGTGACCGGGGTCGGTCGGCCCGAGGCCGGGGTCGGCCGAAACCGTGACAGTACCCCCCCCCCTTGACGCGCGGCTCCAGCCGTGCGCCGACCCCGGCCTCGGGGACGGCCAGGAGGACGCGGACCCGGGCGCGTGGGATGCCCACGGTGGAACTCAGTCAGGAGGGATGGATCTAGGATGTCCCTCCTAGGCACCCAGCACCGTTCCTCCGGACCGTACCCCTCCCACTCCACGAGATACTGGAGACCACTCATCCGGCGCCTCGAGTCCAAGATGGTCCGGACCCTGTACGCCGGGGCCCCCTCGATGTCCAAAGGGGGCGGAGGGGGCGGAGGGGTCTCTCCTATCTCATCTTCTTGGAGTGGGCCAGCTACCACCGGCCTGAGAAGAGACACATGGAACGAGGGGTTAATATTCTTGTACTCAATAGGCAGTTGTAACCTGTAACACACCTCGTTCAATCTTCTCAGGACTTTAAAGGGCCCCACAAACCGCCGACCCAGCTTCCGGCAGGGCAGGCGGAGGGGCAGGTTTCGAGTCGAGAGCCAGACTCGATCTCCCGGTGCGTACACCGGTCCCTCACTGCGGTGGCGATCGGCGCTCGCCTTTTGTTGACGGATGGCCCGCTGCAGATGGACATGGGCAGCGTCCCACGTCTCCTCCGAGTGCCGAATCCACTCGTCCACCGCAGGGGCCTCGATCTGGCTCTCGTGCCACGGTGCCAGGACCGGCTGATACCCTAAAACACACTGGAAAGGTGTTAAATTGGTGGAGGAGTGGCGGAGAGAGTTCTGGGCCATCTCTGCCCAGGGGATATACCTAGACCACTCCTCCGGCCGGTCCCGGCAATAGGACCTCAGAAACCTACCCACATCCTGGTTGACTCGTTCAACCTGCCCATTGCTCTCTGGGTGGTACCCCGAGGTAAGGCTCACCGAGACCCCCAAGCGTTCCATGAACGCCCCCCAGACTCTGGAGGTGAACTGGGGACCTCGGTCAGACACAATATCCTCGGGGACCCCATAGTGCCGGAACACGTGGGTAAATAGGGCCTCGGCGGTCTGTAGGGCAGTAGGGAGACCCGGCATTGGGAGGAGACGACAGGCCTTGGAGAACCGATCCACAACGACCAAAATGGTGGTATTCCCCTGGGAAGGGGGTAGGTCGGTTACAAAATCCACCGAGAGGTGGGACCATGGTCGTTGTGGAACGGGCAGGGGATGTAACTTACCCCTGGGCAAATGTCTAGGCGCCTTACACTGGGCGCACACCGAGCAGGAGGAGACATAAACCCTCACATCCTTAGCTAACGTTGGCCACCAGTATTTCACGCTAAGGCAGTGCACTGTCCGGCCAATACCTGGATGTCCAGAGGAGGGTGATGTATGAGCCCAATAAATAAGACGATCACGAACCTCGAGCGGAACGTACGTCCGCCCCACAGGACACTCGGGGGGAGTAGGGTCGGTACGCAGTG